GGTGTTTTGAGACAGGGTTTCTCTATGTAACAGCTCTGGCTGTCCTGGAACTCACTTTGTAGACTAGGCTGGCCTCGAATTCACAGAGATCCTTCTGCCTCTCTGCTTCCTGAGCACTGGCATTACAGGCGTGCGCCACCACTGCCCAGCTTCCAACCTTATTTCTTGAGATACAGTCTCTCACTGATTCAGGAATTCACCAATTTGGCAAGATTAACTGGCCAGTGAACTCTAGGGATCCTCCTGACTGTCTCCCCACCCACCCCCATGTGTGCTGGGATTATAGGTGGGTACTGCCACACCCAGATTTTTCTCTAGGAGCTGAGTTCAGGTGTTTATGAGCCGTCTGACTTGGTTGCTGGAATCTGAACTTGGTTCTCATGACTGAGCAGCAAGTCCTACTCTTAACCTCTGAAGACTCCCCCTGCCCTCCAACACTCAAGTATGGCAATGCCTTTTCATGGAGCCATCCTTCAAGTTGGTGCTGAATCTTGGTATCATGGGACAGGCTCTGGCTTTGCATCTGTACTGGCCATGGTTGGCCGTCAACAACACTGATGTATGCCCTGGTCCATCATTGAGAGCAGATGTTGTTAACTTCTTGGGCACATCTTTTTGGTTCCCTTTAGTTTTCCTGGCAGATGCAGCACTGACCTGAAGCCACAGTGGCTGTAAATCCCACCCTATTGCTTCTCCAGGCTATGTAATGTGAGGCTTGAGGCCAGCCCAAGCTTTGCTGTCTTTGTATTGTGGAGTGGTTGTTATACCCTCTCATTTGAATATCTCTAAGTCGGTACTTGAAAAAGCAGCTTGCAAGCCTCTTATGTCAAGTGGTTTGGACAGAGAAAAGGACAATGGGAAGAGTATTCAAGGCTGAAGAGGACGTTGCTCAGCACATCTTTTCTGGTTGTGTGGGCAATGCTGTTTCTGATAAGATGTAACGATAACTCGCATGGGCCTGAGACCAGGGATCCCAGGAGTGACCTTGGTGTAGGTGCTGGGCTCTTGGGCTTTCCAAAGGCAGGGCTAGATCAAATAAGAGGTGCTGGCTGCACAGTAAAATTTAGCAGTGGAGCCAGGACTGGTCAAGAACAGGGGAACTCAGCAAAGAAGTCTGGTGAGATCAGCATATGGGAAGGGACCCCAAGGAGTGTCACATGGCAGTAGGAAGTATTTCTTAAAATTTATTTGAATTATCTTTTGCATGGATGTGTTACATGAGAAGGTGGACATGCGTGTGCCATGGTGCATATGTGGAGGTCAGAGGACAATTTCAGGTGTCATTCCTCCTTTCCCCGTGTGTGAGACAGGGTATGTTGCTTATCTCAGTTTGTTCCAGGCTAGATGGCCCACAAGCTTCTAGGGCTTCTCTTGTTTGCACCTTCATTCTTGCTCCTAAAGGAATTCTGGGATACAGATGTGCATGCGAATGCTTTTGTGTTCTGGAGATGGAATAGTTTCCTATGCTTCATGAAGCTGTAAGACCCCAGAAAGCTCAGGCCTCCAGAATCTCAGCCCAGGACCGTGATCACCCCAATCACCAGGCAGAGGCAAAAGCTTGATGAAAACTGCACGAGGCCTTATTGTTGTTAAATGAGCTAAAAGAGGCGAAAGCTTGATGAAAACTGCACGAGGCCTTATTGTTGTTAAATGAGCTAAACCCATGTTAGCTCGGGTCTTTCATCCATCCACCATGGTGGATGGCTACAAAAGACAGTTCGAAGTGGCTGCATAGAGATCTTATAGGGCAGCGTAAGGGGAGTGTCTAGGGGTATGCACAGGCTCA